AAGGAACATAGTAGAAGATAAGAATTATAACTGAATCTCCGTTACTTTAAGATATCGTCAATAGTAAAGTGGAGAAGTGAAATATTATATAGAAAACAAGATGTAGATGTAAGTAGTACTTCAAGTAAATGAGCAAATATATGGGTTTATAATTTGAAGTAACTAACAAAAATATTTAAAGATGTTGCTAATCTCAAAGGATGTATTAATAAGAAAGAGGGAAAATTAAAGTAAATAAAATAGTAAAGTGTTCCGAACAGGGAAGTTTATGAATAAGAATCATTGTTAGTAAGTGAAAGAAGAATTTTTGTATTTCGTACTTGTTTTGTATTGTATGTTGATCATTAGTAAGTAGAATTTTGTTTGTGTGTAAATTTGTTATGAATTAATGTCATGTTTGTCATTTTATCTATATGTGCTTTTTTAAAATAAATATTTTTTTTTTAAAAAAAAAAGGGGTTCGATTCCCAGTTTGGCCATGAAACTCACTGGATGACCCTGGCAGGTCACACACTCTCAGCCTCAGAGGATGGCAATGGCAAACCCCTCTGAACCAATCTCGCCACGAAAACCCTATAATAGGTTCACTAAGGTTGCCATAAGTTAGAAAATGACTTGAAGGCATATCACCACCATCACCATGCTTTAACTGCCATGTTTCCATCACTCCCATATGGTCCTGAGCACCATCTATGTTGCCCAGAGTCTCCCATAAAGGTTTTCCTCTCCTTGTGGCTCACGTAATTGCATCTTCTGGTGGTTTTTTATTCTCCCACAGGTCCAGGTGGCAGGAACAGGAACAGAAGTGATTGGTGTCACACTAGAGACCAAACCTCGCAGACGAAATAAGCGCAATATCTTATATGACATGACGCACAGCTATAGAGATGGAGTGGTGAGTTGTGGTGGAAAACAGGAGGCAGCGGGAGGCTTGGAGCCGGAGTAGACACACAGCAGAGCCTAAAGAGCTGTATTGCAGATTTTTGGGAACTCGGGAACTCTGGAGAGCCACAGCTTTGCTGTCATGGCCGTCCTTTTAGTGAAACATAAAGCCTGCATCCACACTGCAGAAATAATGCAGCTTGGTACCATTTTAACTGCCATGGCTCAATGCTATGGGGTTACAGGAATTGTGGTTTGTGGTGGCACCAGAGCTCTCTAACAGAGAAGGCTAAATATCTCACAAAACTACAGTTCCCAAAATTCCATAGCATTCAGCCATGGCAGTTAAAGTGGTACCGAAGTGGATTATTTCTGCAGTGCAGATGCAGCCACTGTCACTTATCCAGCTGCTGGATGTATGTGTAGCTGTTTTAGGGTAAGGAAGATCCTGAAATAGCCTCACAAAGGAGGGTTATATTGAAAATAGATTTTTTTTTTTTTTTTGGATGGGTGGGTGGCCAAAATATTATAGAAGGGTGCCAGGTCTTAAAGGTTGCAGTGGGAGCCTCAAGGGGCACATTGACTGCATGCAGCCTAGCGGAAGCACAGATACCATACTAGCTGTGGAACTGGTAAACAATGAAACCTAGTTGGCTAGGACTTCATAATAATAATAATACAATCACAGAGTTGGAAAAAACCACATGGCCATCCAGTCTGACTCCCTGCCATGCAGGAATACACAACTGAAGCACACCCAAGCATATGGCCATCTAGCCTCTGTCTAAAAGGGGGTTGGACTGGATGGCCCTTGTGGTCTCTTCCAACTCTGTGATTCTATGATTCTGTGATAAAAACCTTCAAAGAAGGAGGCTCCACCACACTCCAAGGAAGTATGTTCCACTCTCAAACAGCTCTTACTGTCAGGAGGTTCCTCCTAATGTTGAGATGGGATTTCTTCTTCTGTAGTTTGAACCCATTGTTCTGTGTCCTAGTCTCTGGAGCAGCAGAGAATAAGCTTGCTCCATCCTGCTGCTGATGATAATGATGATGATGATGATGATGATAATGATAAATTTTTATTTCTTACCCACCTTTCCCCAAGGCTTGAGGCAAGATACAACACAGATTATAATACAATAAATAACTAAACTCATAAAACTATTCAAACTCATTGCTTAAAACATATAAACATTAGGACAAGGATGACCATTACACATTAAAATCATCCAAATACAAAATTAAAAATATACACATTTAAAATCCATAGTTTAAAATCGACTGTGTAGGCCTGCCAGTCTTTAATACTGTTTTAAAATTCAAGCAGCGTGTTTAGCTGTTGAATCTCTCCCAGAATTTCACTATCTAGGGACAGCCGATGAAAAGGTTCTCTGGGTGAGAGTTGCCAGTCTAGTCCTGGCCAGTTGGAGTAAATGTCCCCCAGAGGACCTGTTTGTATGGGATAGACTATATAGAAGGAGGCGATCCTGTTGGTAACTTGGACCCAAACCATGTAAGCCTTTAAAGGTAATAACCAACACTTTGTACTTTTCCTGGCAACTAACTGGCAGCCAGTGAATGGATTTTAATATTGGTGTGATATGATAGCCAGCATGGTGTAGTGGTTTGAGTGCTGGACTGTGGATCTGGAGACCAGGGTTCAAAATCCCAGTTTGGCCATATAAGCCCAGTGGGTGACCTTGGGCAAGTCACTCTCTCTCAGCCTCAGATGACTTACTTACTTACTTACTTACTTTATTTATATGCCATCTTTCTCCCAGGCTGGGACCCACGGCAACTTCCATAACACCTTTAAAACATTTACAGAAAGTTTAAGACATATTTAAAAATCTTGAAACACTATAAAACTGATTTACATGCGGAAGTTAAAAAGTATGGTAGTGCCAAACCCCCTCAAGAAATTTGCCAAGAAAACTCCATGATAGGGTTGCCATAAGTCAGAGAAGTCTTGAAGGCACACAACAACCACAAATGAAAGGTTCACTTTAGGGACGCCATAAGTAAGAAAGAACTTGAAGGCATACAACAGCAACACTCACACCTAGATGTACCTGTGACCAATCTGGCTGCCATGTTTTGAACTAATTGAAGTTTCTGAACTTGGTGCACAGGTAGCCCAATGTAGATTGAATTGCAAAAGTCCAGCCTTGAGGTTACCAGTGTGTGCACTACCACAACATTTTGATGCTGGTCAGCACTGGAGACCTTCAAATGTACAAAATGCATTCAAATTTCAGCAAAGACCAGTTTCTCTATGTCTGTTTGGTTTCTGCTCCAAACTCTCCCTCTTTTGCTCAGGCCAGGGGAACCTGGGGGCAACTGACTGGGCGTGATGCCCACATGCTGTTGCAGAATGAACTCTTCCTAAATGTGGCCACCAAAGAGTTTGAAGATGGAGAGCTGCGTGGCCAGATCACCTCTCTGCTGTACAGCGGACTCCTGGCACGAAACCAAGGTACCAGTGCATGTTTCCAAGCAACATCAAAAGTTATTCATGAGGGAGAACACGGAAGTTGGGTGAGGCTGCAGCAGTTTGATTTTGCCTGAGAAAAGCAAGATGCTGCCACTTCCAATCCTCAACTGAGTTAATTGCGTATACACTACTTTTGCACTTTGAACACAATTTGCAAAAATTGAAATAAGCTGAGGAAAAAAGTGGGAGGATGAGAAAGATGCAGGGACATTTTAAAAGCAGCTGGGAAAAGTGGGATGACATAGGAGTAATTGGCAGTATCTCTGCCAAATTGGGACAGTTGGAGGGCATGCTATCACTCTTGTCCCTAGAACCCCAGATTCTGTGTGAGAATTTGCTCCCAACTAAACTGATAATTTGACCTTCTTTCCTACAAATTGGACTGTGAATATATTGTTACTCATCTTGCCCAGGTATTAGAACATGAACATCCTATGTTATCTCCTTGGCTCAGCCAATCTGTGTCAGCTGCTTCACTAAGATAAGCATGTAATACAACAGTGTAAATCATCTTGCCAAATTCAATATTTACTGTATTTTTAAATTAAATTATTAATGTTGTCAAGCCTAAGAGTATTTATAACTGAGAATGTTACTGAGAAAAATCCCAGTTATTAAAAACAAGCACATGAACTATTGTGAACAAATACAAGCTGAGAAAGGGACAGAGGAATATCATGCTACAGTTCTGCAGAACTGACATCTCTTTTTAGAGCTTGGAAAAGTTTTTGGTTTTTTTTTGTACTGAAAGTCATGAATCCCTGTGGGCCAGCAGTTTCCCTCCCCTTCCCCAAAAAATTGTTTCTAGGTATTTAAATATCAGATTTCAAGTCAGGTAAGGATGCTTCAGTTGTCTTCCTTCCAGGCTAACAATACATGATAATATATCTCCCCCCCCCCCGCCTTAAAAAAGAATTAAACTTAGCACAGTTTATCCTCTTGTATCCTCCCCAAGTATCCTCTTGTTGTTGCCTCTGCATTCATTAATTCACATAATGGGGGGAGGGAGCTTCTTTGTAGCAATTTCTTGGATCTGTGATAGAACTCTTCTAAAAGTTTTTAAAAAATAAATATGACCCCTCAGTTTACTTTAACCCAATATAAAATCAGAAATTATTAGAATGAATGAATTAGAATAGCACAATTATTAACTGCAGTAACTTAAGACAACTCCTCACTTTGAAATGCCTAGATTTATTTGGACTATATTTGGAATATATGTTATGATGGTTGGATACAGTAAGATTACTTAGCATTAAGTGTTTAATATGTATTAATATGTATTAATATGTATTGACTATGTATTGAATGAATGTGTATTTTAAGTTTTAATTAATAAAAATTAAAAAAGAAAGAAAGATGAGGAACAACATCTGAGTATGGATGCACTCAGAGAATACTTTATATCCAATGGCAACACCCCAACCCAGATATCCTCTTTCCCCAGGGCATCCTTTGAATGACTGTCTATGGTGCTATTTCCCACATTGACCTGATCTTTGGGTATGCTGGCAACTTCCCAATGCATTTGCCCCTTTTGGAAATGTCCTGAGTTTGTGACTTGTGACCTTTTCTTTGCAGAACTTCCCATCCCCTTAGCTGGCCAGTTTGTGTCCCCTCCTGTACGTGCTGGATCTGCTGGGCATGCCTGGGTATCTCTGGATGATCACTGCCACCTTCACTATGAGATCGTAGTAGCTGGCCTTGGCAGGGCAGATGATGGCACCGTCAGTGCTCACCTGCACGGTTTTGCTGAACTGGGTGAACTCCGGGAGAGCAGCCTCCGGGAGCACAGACGTCTGCTCAGGGGCTTCTATGGCACCGAGGTAAGGCACCTTGCAGAGGGTCCTTGAGGATGGGTGTGTGCTCTTCCACAGAGCTTGGAAAAGTTACTTTGAGTTGTAATCTCAAAAAGTAACTTTTGCAATTTCTAGACACATCTAATTGAAAATGCCAGCAGGGCCATTTCCAGAGCTTGGAAAAAGTCACTTTTTTTATACAACAACTCTCGGAATCTTTTAAAAAGTAATTTTTAAAATGGCTAGTAGGGAATTCTGAGAACTGGAATCTTTTAAAAAGTAATTTTTCCTCTCTTCATTGAAAGTGATCTAGTTAATGGATTTTAAGAGAAGACAGCCTTCTTAGCAGCTGTTCCCAGACTTTGGAAATCCCTCCCTACAGAGGCAAGGATGGTCCAGTCTTTGCTCTCCTTTGTCATTAAGTTAAAATGTTTTTCATGCTACCGGGCTTTTAGAAATTGACCGAGGTGGGCTTTTAATGCTGTGCAGTGCTGTTTTTAAGGTTGGTACATTGTCTTTTAATGAAGTTTAACGTTCAGTGTTTTTAACTTTGTAATTTGTTTAATTTTAAAATAACCTTGATATTTATACTTTTAGTAAGGATTTTGCATAGTTTTAATCTGCATTGTTTTAAATATGTTGTTAGCCACCTTGAGTCCCATTATTGAAGGTGATGAATCCCATTATGGGAGAAAGGCAGGATATAAATCTTTTAAATAAATAAATAAATAAATAAATATGAATGGTGAATAGAGGAGGAGGAGGAGATGATGGTGATGATGGTGATGATGATGATGGCCACTAACCTAGAGGGATATTTATTTTAAAAAAAACAAGTTGAGACCTTCACAGAGAATTAATCCATCATATACTAAATTATCCATAGTCATTTAAAAAAGCTGTCCACTTTCAGAGACAATGTAGTTCTAATACTAAATCAAACAGGGGAAAGCTACCACTGCATTCTCTTTTTGAATTTCTAGAGGTGTCATTTTTGGACTATAACTCCCAGAATCCATCAGACAGCATTGTTTAGACATTTCTAACCAGGTGTCCATATTGTTTTAAATATGTTGTTAGCCACCTTGAGTCCTGTTATTGAGAGTGATGTGAGATATGAATCCCATTGTGGGAGAAAGGCAGGATTAGATCCTTATGCCACAGGCCATCTGGCTCCCTCCTCGTGGAAAGAGAATACTGGACCAGAGAATTCTCCCTCTGCCCCAAATTTGGAGCAGAGGGTTCTGATTCAAGAACGGGCCTTACTGTGGTAGCTTAATTCATAACTTTAGCATTTTGCCCATGCAATATGATTGCTCTGAATGTGCTCATTCATTCATTCATTCATTTTGCTTTCCATCCAAGTCTGCTTCCAGAGAAGAGATCCATGTAGCTTAAAAATTGTATTTTCTAGATTTTCAAAAGCTGGCCAAGAAAAAGTAATTGCCTGCTTGCCTAGTACTACATTTGAGCTGAAAGATGTTATAAGGGCTTGCCACTTAACTCACCACTTTTCCACCAGATGTGAGGCTCTACCTAAACCTTCACTGCCATCAAATGAGAAAATTTCCATAAACCTCACTGTTGCCACCAAGAGTGAGCCCTCATATTCACCTCTACCACCAATGTAAGGACCTCCTCAAGTCCTACTCTGTGATCACCAACTTTGGGGACCTCCTAGATGTCCTCAAGGTACCTGTGAGATATTATGCAACTTTTATCTCCACTGGACACCACCTCTCTTTATTCACTGCTACCACCACAGACATCTTACCTGAATCTAGCCTTTATAATGTATAACATTACTGGAGAACAGATGCAAATAAATACACAAAAAATTACAGTGGACCCTTGGTATCTGCTGGGCTTTGGTTCAAGGGCCCCTTGCGATACAAAAAACCATAGATGCTCAAGCCTCATTATATACAATGGGGTAATAAATTGTGGCTTATATAAAATAGCAAATTCTATACAATACAGTTGCATACAGTTATATTTATATATTCTATACCGTAAAATGGTGTGCCTCATAAAAAATAGCAAAATCAAGGTTTGCTTTTTGGCATGTATATTTTTTGAGTATATTTTGAATATTTTAAAGCCATGGGTGGTTGAATCCGTGGATGATGAATCCGTGGATATGGAGGGCCAACTGTACCTTATTAACAGAAGTTGTACATAACAAAAAATATCAATTTGCACAGGCCTGTGATGAAAAAACTGTAACTGTTTTTAATGCTTTTAATGGACTAATGTCTAAACTATTAGCTCTGGGATTAGTACAGCTGTCTAGAGTCCACTGGTGTCCTTTTCCTTCCTCAATAGGCGCAAGGGGTTGTGAAAGACCTGGATAGAGAACTACTCCATCACCTGGCCCAAGGCACAG